ACCCTATGCATGGTAGGCTATGCTCGCGGTGCAAGAAAATCGTTTGGCTGGAGCCATGGAGGAATTAGCTGTGGCCCAATCCCAGCTAGACGAGAAACAACGTGAATTGGACATTGTGCAGGCAGAGTATGATCGGGCGATGGCCGAGAAACAACGCTTGTTGGAGGACGCTGAGGCCTGTCGGAGAAAAATGAGCAATGCCACCGCATTAATTGGTGGTTTAGCAGGTAATGCTATCTCTCATGTGCGCACAGACAGACAGACAGACAGACAGACAGACAGACAGACAGACAGACAGACAGACAGACAGAAAAGCAACCACATTTTATGAATTTTCTCAGTAGTAAACATTTCCGGAATTCACTGTATTTAACAGAAGAGGAAAGTTTGTTACACACCACCATTGTTTTTGCTGATTTTCTACAAAAATAGTCCTAATTCTATTTGCGGTGCTATAGATACGTTTGTTGAGGCAGAATAATACGTGTGCTCATCTGCATTTAGTTTTAACTTACAGTCGTCTGAAATATCAACGTCTAAATCGACTCACTGCCAGTGATGCAATTTGAGAGAATCACTCAGTTAGTTCATGAGTTGCGCATATCGTCATACACTATCAATGTGCTACTAATCATCAAAAACGTTTGAAACGATTGTTTTATCTTTTTCCGGAATCAGCGGCCCTCCATAGCCTTCAAATCGCCTGGGATTCGCATCAGTGTGTGTGTGTGTGGGGGGTGTTTGACTATCCTTCCGGGATGCATCAGTTATAATATTTTAAACGATTTTTCATTGATATCTGACAAGTTGATTATGCATAAAATATCTTGATTGTGTACAACTGAAATTCAAAACTGCTTTTTCTACCGGCAATCAGTTAAAAATTTCTGAATCCCATTATTCGAAACCTTCATTCCGTATTTGCCTGCCCCTGTCATCAACCAAAACAACATATCAGGTGAAAGAAGTCGTTGGACAGAAGCTAGTCAACAATTCGCAGAGCAAATAAACCGCCTTGTTGGTGACGTGCTTTTGGCCACTGGGTTCCTATCCTACACCGGACCGTTTAATCAGGACTTCCGGAATTTGCTGACCAGACTATGGCGCAAAGAACTGGAACAAAACAACATCCCGTTCTCCGAGGTGAGCAGATTAAAAGGAGGTGGTTCGTTTAGTGCTTGGTGCCTAGCCTAAATTTGGTTATAGAACTACTTTCCACAAGTCCATTTGGGAAGATGCTTATTTCCTCTGGATTCACACCATTTTCCATGTGGTATGATTTGTATTAAAAAAACTCTATTATCAATGATGTAGCCAATACGTTACTGTGACGTGTGATATTTTATTTTCTGAAAGTTTAATTTTATTAAACGGTGAATATTTGGATAAGCCCTTTCGATGTTTTAGAGACACATGGCACTATCGATGATATTGGGTGTGGGTTTCAATCCTCAACAGATGTCTAGTCCTATTGGTCGGTCATCACAATTAAATTGTAATCTCATTACTTTGAATCAGGAATGAGTGAACCATCATATTTTCCGAGCCAGTAAACCACCCTTTAAAGACAGGGAGCATACATAATATTTTAAGGTATTCAGACCCACCGTATAGGAGTAATGGTTATTTAGTATCTGATTGACGAGCAATGTGAATGTGCAGGTGAGCGGATAGCACAGTATTTTGTGGCTGGAGTATAT